TCCTTTTTATTTGGTCTTGGACACTTAGGGTGGGTCTTCCTTGCTGTCAACCTAATTTAGATCCCTCACAGACACACCCAGGGGTTCATCTTCTAGGTAATTCTAGATCTTGTTAAGATGACACTATTGATCACTCACAGGTAAAGGCCCACTGACTCTGGCTGGTCATGTTTGTGTTCTCCTGAGAGATTCTGACTTCCAGTCCTGCCACATGTGAGAAGGAGGCCAAGAGCCCCATGGCTTATCCATAGGAGAGATGCTTGGGCATCACCATGGCAACAACCATGACCACGATCCTTAACAACACAGAGAAGGCTTGCAGGCTATGCCAGACGGAAACGCAGGACACAGTGTGGGACACACACTGTGTCTGGGGAGCACCTACACTTAAGAGAACATGGTCACAAAGCTCCTCCTTGAGAGGCAAACATGTTAGGGTGATGGAAGAATTCAAGAGATTCTATGATCAAAAAACAGGTGTCTGTGGAGGGCTTGCTAGTAGTTTCTGGGTCTCCTCCCACATGGATTGCTCGCAGTAGATTCTTGCCTGTGTTGGCTTCAGCAGAACCCAAGCTAAAATGGGTATCGTCCCCAGAATGGAACACTGGAGTCACAGGGTGCACATATTACAATGGTTTTTTTTTTTGTGCCATGTGTTTGTGCATGCACACGCATGTAGAGACCAGAGAAGAAGCTTGGATGCTGCCCCCTCCCCTTCTTTTTATTTTTTAGACCAGGTTGGAATTCTCTCATGGACCTGGAACTCACAAATAGGCTAGGATGGCTGGCCAGTGAGCCCCAGGCATCTGCCTGTTTCTACCTCTCCAGGGTTGGGATTGTACCATGTAGCGCCCCAAGCCTGTCTTTTCTACGTTAGGTGCTAGGGCCAAAGCTCGGACCTCATGCTTGTCGGCAAAGCACTTAACTGACTGAGCCACCCCTTCCCCAATGCCTAATTTAGAGTTCTTTTTATGAATCTGTGCTCTGTTTAGACCAAACGAGCTGCCTCTCTGTTCCCATCTTGGTGAACTCTTCTATGGGCTCAGATGGCTGACCAGGTCAATAGCAATATGCTCACACGAGGCCAGTTGTGTCCAGGCTACTGGATATGTGGATCTTACAGACACAGAGGCTAAAGGACACTGGGAGCTGGTGAATTCACCAAGATAGAATCCCAAGGGCCAGCAACTTACACTTTATCAGAATTCAAAGAATTCGAAAATGGAAGTTAGCCTGCAGATTGTCACGTGTCATCTGAGGTCCCCGGAGCTCATCTCATTAGAAGTATAAACTAAGCCCTTACCCAGAAGATACACTATCATTGCGTGCGGCCTTTCACATAGTTCACCGATGGAAGTCACTAGAAGTTTGGCCTCTGCAGATAACAGACCAGTTCTGCTTGGTCTGCATTCCAGCCCCTGAGTCATCCAGTGACACCATATCCTGCCCTGCTCATGACTCTGTCCCTCTTCTGTCTGGCAGCTTCGCTGCTCAGGGCTCTGAGAGGTTTTCAGAAATGAGGGTGGAGGGGAAAGATCAGCTTCAGAAACTGAAAGTCGGGGCTGAGTGGACATCCATCAAATCCTACAATGAGTCAGTCATGGGATGGACATGGTTAAAGGAACATGGTCTCATCCCCCAAGGAACTCACAGAGAAATACAGCCTGAATGTTTCCTAGCTGAAGAGGAAGAAAGTGAGGTCTATCTCCATGATGGTTGCAGGGACCTAAAAAGTGTTACACAGTGTTACGTGTGTCCAGTCAGTGGCCTGGACTCCATGTGACTAAGAATAGCTATGAGTATAGCCCAACATAGAATCATCAGCTTTGGGGTTAGTAAGATGGTTCAGTAGGCAAACAAGCTTGCTGCTTATGCCTGATGGCTTGAGATTGATTCCCTGGAACCCACGGAAAGGTGAAACTGACTTCACAAAGTTCTCCTCTGACCTCTACATATGTGTGGTGGCATGTACACCCCGCCGGGGCCACCACCACCACAACCATCACCATCAACTGCCACCACCACTACTAAATTTAGGTCCTCCAAGATTGGAGGACCACCAAGATTTTAGGCCACCAAGTCTGACAACCTGAATTCATTTCCCCAGGACTCACAAGATGAAAGGAGAGAACTAAAACCCCCTGTGTGCACGCAAAGCAAATAATAAAAACATAAAATTAAAAGTACACAAGTTGGGACTGGAGAGGCAGTTGAGCAGTTAAGAGCACTGACTGCTCTTCCAGAGGACCCAGGTTCAATTCCCAGCACCCATATGACAATTCAGAACTGACTGTAACTCCAAGATGTGACACCTTCACACAGACGTATGGGCAGGTGAAACACCAATACATATAAAACAAATAGAAGTCTCTATATAAAAAAAGTACATAAGTCTAAAAAATGTAAACCTGTATAAAGTATTAAAGTATTTCATGTTTTTTTCTTTTTGTGTGTGTGCAATGTTTTTGTGACACAGTTGTGAAGTCCATACTGTGAACTGTTTTTTCTGCTCTGTTTTTACAGTACTGAAGAGTAAACCCAGGGCCTCGCACTCACCAGGCAAGCAAGCCCTCTGCATCCCCAGCTGAGTGTGAACTTTGTAGTCACATTACAATGACTAAAAGTCATATGTGCCTATGAGTACACGCTATGACATGTGTGAGCCCAGAGAGCATGACACTTGGTGAGACAAGCCGGACATATAGCACGGGACAAACTGGAAGATTCCGTTCGTATGAAACATCCAGAACGGGCAAACCTAGGGGGCAGAAATGTAGATTCAGAATCGCCTGTTGAGGTGAGGAGAATGGAGATAGAAGGTGATAATTACAGATGGCGCTGGGGAGAGATAGGTTGGAAAAGGCCCTGCCACAGAAGCAACAGGGCCTGAGCTCCAGCCCCAAACCCACGTCAGAGCCAAGGAAGTGACACCTGTGTCTATAAGCCCAGCACTGGGGAGACGGGAAGATTCCTGTCGGTCACTGCCAGCCAGTCTAGCTAGTGAGCTTCAAGTTCAGTGAGAGAGCCTTGTCTCAGAAACTGAAGTAGGAGGCTGGAGAGACTGTTCTGTGAGTAAAGGCTCACATGGTGGAAGGGAGGGACCTGGTGTATCTAAGTTGTTCTCTGCTCAAGCCTGATGACTGGAGTTTGAAACCCATGGAGACGGGGGACTGACCCCTCCACAACACAGATACACACACAGGCACACACAGAGACACACATACACAGACACACACACACAGACACACATACACACACACAGACACACACACAGACACACACAGAGACACATACAGACACACATATAGACACAGACATCCACATACACACATAGAAACAGACACATACATACACAAACAGAGAGACATATACACAGACACATACGGACACAGACACACACACAGAGACATAAACACAGACTCAGGCACACACACAGAAATACAGACACACACAGAGACATAGACACACACAGATACACACACAGACACACACACAGACATATGCACAGATGCAGACACATACAGACACAGATACATACAGACACACACACAACACACACACAGACACACACAGACACACACAACACACACACACAGACACACACATAGATACAAACACATAGACACAGACATCCACATATACACATAGAAACAGACACATACACAGAGAGACCTACACACAGACATATACAGACACAGACACACAGAGAGACATAGACACAGACACAGGCACACAGACACACAGAGATACAGACACACTTAGACACAGACACACACACACAGAAATACAGACACACACAGAGACATAGGCACACACACACACACACACACAGACATATGCACAGATGTAGACACATACAGACACAGATACATACAGACATACACACAGACACACAAGACACACACATAGATGTACACCGACACACACAGATGCAGATACACAAAGACACACACAGAGACATACACACACAGAGACACACAGAGACACACAGAGACATACACACATACACACACATTCACACACACACACACACACACAGATAGAGGTGTAATGACATCTGTTTAAGGTGGGAAGTTGGGACACCAGAGAGTCTGCAGAAGACTTGTCCTTTCCCATCTTGCCTTAGGATTGTTTGCTACGTCTTGCTAGAATCTTGCTGTGTGGGATTAAATACCACACCACCACATCTGGACTATTACTAGGGTTCTGGGGACCAAACTCAGGCTTGTGTGGCTTGTGAGGCTTGTGTGGCTTTTGCTTTTACCCTGAGTCATCTCCCTGGTCTCAGGAAGTAGTTTTTGAGCTAAGCCTTGAAGGAGAAGTGGGCTGGAAGGACTGACATATTGTCCGAGGCCAGACTAGACAGAGCCTTGTGTACGAAGATAAGACCTTTTCGTTTTACCACAGACCCTGGACACACTCCAGATGGTCTATGTGATAACCGAGGATGAATAGGTTACAAAAGCTATTTGATGCCATGAAATAAATTTTGTAGGGATGTTTTATCCTCTGGTCAGCATAAATGATGACATGATGTGTCAGAAGGGGAAGACGGTTATCATCTGGGTGCAGATGTCCTTCCACACAATAGGACTGCATATGGGCACCACTCTGTATGTGTGACACACCATAACTTACTTGCATGCCATTGTATCACATACCTCGCACATGTTGACTGCTTTTCTGGAAACACTGGGCACTCAGGTAATGGCCCAAAAAAAGGAAGAAAAGAATAGTAAAGAATCTGTCAACAGGTATCATAGCAACTTTATCTTTCTCTAGAAGAAATCTGAACATGAATTGGTTTTCAGACAAGCATTGAACAAAGAGTTGGATGAAGCCAAAACACAGACACATTCACCCCGTGTATTTTGTCCCATAAACAAGAGAGTTATTATTTGGTGCAAAGAAGAATAGGATGATGGATGGTTGGGTGGCTGTGGAGATGGCAGCATATGAAGGACCGATCTCCACCCTGCAGCCTCAGCAGTGGTCCCAGGATGAGCACAGCAAGCTTGGTGCTCCTGAGCCTCGCACTGAGCACTGGGGTCACCGTGGCTAAGTCAGAAGGAAGCAGCCTTTGTCTAAAGAGCCAGGTGTTCTTCAGAGATGCTTGCTATGAGTTTGTGCCGCTGGAACACACCTTCCACGGTGCCCAGGGCTGGTGTGAAGGGCACGGAGGCCATCTGGCCTTCATTCCTGATGAAGATACCCAGCAGTTCCTGCAGAGACACATTACCCAGGACAGAGAGTGGTGGATCGGACTCACCGGAGGCTCAGCGCACAATGGCACTGCGGGAGGTAGGTGCTGCATGAGGGTCTGACGAGAAGCATGTGATAAAAATTCTTATCCCTACTTCTTACCCAGAACCCCATGGGGCAAATCAACGTGTCCTAACTTTCATGACAAAGAGACCTTCCTGTTTAGTTGTTTGGTGGATCCGGTAAAATAACTCATGTACAGTAAGTAGCAGAGGAGGTGGTCTAAAAACATGCTTGTATTTCTCTAGCTCTGGAGTACGAGCTCTCTGTGGTGTGATGCCTCTATACGTACATTCTGAGGGTAAACCTCCCCTGAGAGGTTGCCAAGTCTCACACTTGAACAGTTCCGACCACCTTCTCAGGCTCTAGAAACTTCTGGAGCAATGCAAGCCACTTCAGTATGAGCTCAACCCATGTCCAGACATGGCTGAGCAGATGCCCTGAGTCATCCACCCATGAGCATCATAGAACATTCTGGGCTCCACATTCTGTCACTCTTAGCTAGGTAGCACCACCTTTTATGGCTTCTCCAAGATGGTGTCCAGTTATGTCCGAGCAATTGAAACTAATGGTGAAGACACATCCGTTCTCTGATGTGGGGAAGAGAGCAATCGATTGAGCACCCAGGGCATAGGAGGAGTTGAGTTCGGGCAAGCGTTCCACATAAGGGAGGGTAAGAGAGGACTCCCACCAAGTCCTGCTGCATTTGCTTCCATTCAGGCTCTTGGACCTGGCTGGACACCTCAAATGTGAACTACAGCAACTGGCAAGAAGGGCAGACCACACCTGCCCCAGGGACCTGCGGTTACATCAGGAGTGGTCCTTTGTCTCAGTGGGCTACCCTAGAGGATTGCACACAGACCTTTGCCTTCATCTGCGAGTCTGGTGAGCTGGTCCTGTGGGGGCTCCCTCCCTGTCCCTCCCTTTCTCCCTGCCTATCTGCTTCCCTCCCTTCCTGTTCCCCTTCCTGCCTGTCTGCTTCTCCCCCACCCCCCAACCAGTCTTCATCTCTCTAACCTTCTCTTTTTCAATCTCCTCCATCTCTATAGGTTTCTTGTGGTCTTTCTCCCTAACTCATGGTGGGTCTCTTCCCTCCCCTCTCTTCCACATCTGTCTCTCTGGGTCCCTCATCTGCCTGTTCAGACGCCTTGCCTGTAGACTTCTGACACTATCTTGCTTGTTTGAGACTTTCTACCTTTCCATCTTCCAGTGCCCCTGCTCCCAAGCCTCTGCTTGTATGATACTCTGTATCTCTCCTGGTCTCACGTCTCCTCTCCTGCTGGCCCCACTCCATCCTTGTGTCTCACAGTCCTAGCCCAGCACTTTCCCAGATCAGTGTGTGTTCCTAAGTTGTCACCTTCCCTTTGTTGCAGGGGTTGGCCGCAGTCTGGCTTGTGAGGGCCACAACGCCACCATGCACTGTGACTCAGGAGAGGTCATTCTGGTCCAGAATGCTTTCTATGGGCGCCAGACCCCCTATTTGTGCACCCGGGGAGTCTGGCCTCCCTCAGACCTGGAGGGAGAATGTGTCTGGGTCAGCGTCAAGGATGAGGTGGCAGGTAGGACCCCAGGGCCCCACAGTTCTGACTGGATCGGAGACCAGTTGCTGGTCTTCTATCCACAGTAGAGGGTTCTGGAAAATTCTGATGCTCTTCAGAGTTGACCTGGGCTCCCTCCATGTGGGGACCCAACCAATCTGTCTACAGCACCAAACTCTTAAATAGGACACTGAGGCAGGTTTACCAAGGCCATCAACTCCAGCTCCTGAGGCAGGAAAGCTTCTAATCTCCTACCCATCCTGAGACCAGAGAACATCAACTTAATTAACCCGTTTTTTAAAATTACAAAACAGTTCAAATCTACAGGCAAGAATAAAGAGAGCTGCATTCTGTGGCTTATGTCTGTATTCCACTTGGGATACGGAGGAAAGAGAATCAGGGGTTCAAGGCCCCCCTTAGCTACCTAGCAAGGTTGGGAACAGCCTGTGCTTCATGAGTCCCAGTCTCAAACAAGCCAGCCAAGAATAAAGAATATTGTGGTAAACTCCCAGACAGCCATTATCCACCTTTGTTATCTCTTAATACCATGTATCATTGTAGCGTTACCTTCAGACTTATTCATCAAGCACTGAATATGGCACCACAGGGCTCCCACCCTGCCGGCTACTGCTGGAAACAGTGTTTACAAATAGCACACCGGGTCCTCAGTTCTGCCTTCTCTCTGGGCTTCTCTAATCCTTGTGTGATCTTGGTTATGTAATTGACGCTGTCTTCTATGTGTCATCCTGTAGCTTAAAGTTGTCTTTTTGAGATACGTGGTCCCTCTTGGTTCCTAGTTTATTTAGTTTGCCTCTTACACACCGCCTCTTACACACTGCCTCTTACACACTGCCTCTTACACACCGCTCCTCCTTTCCTCCCCATCCCATGTGTGTAAGGCAGAAGACAGGCTTAGGTGTCTTCTCTCCAGGTTCATCTCCCTGTTTCTCTTGAGACAGAGGGGGTCTCAATGGAGTGTAACTTGCTTAGACCAGGTTAGACTAGACGAGCTAGCCAATGAGCCTCAGGGATCTGTCTCCACTTCCCCAGTGTTAGGATTATACGTTTGTATCACTGTACCCTGCTTTTCTACCTGGGTCCCAGGAGTTGAACTCGGGTCCATGTGTTCGCAGGGCAGGCGCTATATTGACTGTGTCTTCTCCCCAGCCCTTAGAGCAGACATTTCTGATGCTATTCTCTACCTATGTGGTAGTTTCCCTTGGGCTCCCCATCCCCTTTAAATCAGATAAAATTTCCTCTGACCAGTGCTTGCTCCATCAAAGGGCTCAGCTTCAGGGACTACCAGGGCTCCCTGGGGTCTTCTGTGAAGACTCCAAAACCTTCCTGGATCCAGGACATCAGGGAATCTGTCTTTGTCTGTTTGTTGCAGTGACCATTGTTTAGACACCAGGGACCTGGAAAGGCAGTTGGTTTCAGTTCCTCAGCTAATGAGTATTCGAGGTTGCATATCCAGCCTGGGAGCCCTGGGGCTGTGGGTTCAACTTCCTGATATGCCTGTTAGAATTTCCTCTCAGAGGAGCTGTCTCTAAACAAAGACCCGTGAGGACTGTGGGGTGCAGAGTACTCCCCGAGTCTCCTCCCTCAGGGAGAGCCTGTCTCTTCTCCCTCGGAACGCTTCTTTGCCCCACTGCTCTTTCTCCCACACGTTCACCACAGTGTCCTTGCTTCCCCTGGAGCTGGTGTGGAGGTAGAAATACTGAAATTAGTTTGTACTTCTCAACATCTCTCTTCAAAGTTCCAGACTTCTGTGCTGGGTCCTCCAAGATGGAAGGGCCTCGGCTGGACGAGCAGAGGGTGGAGGCTTCCTCTCTACAGCACGCAGGAGCTGGGCTGGCTGCTTCCTCAACAGTCAGCTGTAAGCTTTGAAAACAGGGTCAGCACACCCCAGAGAGCATACTGGAAGGGAAACCTGAACCCCATTGGGAAAGGGTGAGAAAACCTGGCAGGGCCCCAACATCTGATTGTGTCGGAGTGCCCAATCACTCAATCACCAAGTGGCCAATAAACATTTATTGAGGACCAATAGTGCTATGCACTATCCTGGGGTTCTGTGGAGATAGGATGAATCAAGCATCTGCTTCCGAGGAGCTCAGAGTCCAGGGAGGAGACAGATAAATGTCGCCATAGGAGGGAGCAAAAGGCACTGTGCATTTACTCATTAAAATGTATTTTAGAGCTACCATTTTAGAGCTGTATTCTCGAGACCCAACAGTGCGCAGAACGTTTAAAATACTCCAGGCCTTTGGAGACTACCATCTAGTGCTATGAATACTCATGGGAGTATACAACCAGACAGGGGATGGTCACCAACTGGGCTTCATCATTGTATTGTGCTGAGAGCTGGGGTGTAGCTCACTGTAGACAGCCTGCCTGGCATGTGGGAGGTCTTAGGTTTAATTCTCTGAATCCCCCACAGCCTCCAAAAGCCACAATTGAAAGAATTAATGTTTTGAGTGGGAAGCGGTGGCCAATACCAACAGTCCCAGCAACTCGGGAACTGGAGAGAAGAGAATTGGTTGAGGTCAAAGATTAAGGTCAGCCTAAACAGCAGAACGAGACTCCACCCACCCTCCTCCAAAACTAGAAGTCAGTCAGCTGAGTTGGCAGTGTACCCCTTTAACCTCAGCACTGGGAAGGCAGAGGCAGCTGGATATCTCTGAGTTCAAGACTAGCCTTATCTATATAGGGAGTTCTGCTTCAGCTACCTATTGAGGGCTTTTTTTTTTTAAGTGTAGAAAGAAAAGAAGGAAAAAAAGGAAGAGAGGAGAGGGAAAAGAGAGGGGAAGGATCAGAGGGGAAGAAGAGAGAAGAGAAAGAAGGAAAGGGAGGGGAGGAGATAATCTGTCAATCATCAATTACGTTAGGTCATTAAACAGGGCAGTTCAGTCCAGGGAGCTGTTTTTTAAAGACCTGGAAGATCTGACAAACCAAACAGTCCTCTAATCCCTAGAATTGTGGGAGCCGTGAACTAGGGCTCAGAAAACCACTCACAAGGCACAGGAACTTCCCAGGTATGTTTAAGGTCACCAGTCACATGACCTGAGGACAGAGACACCCCACCTCCACCCCACCACCATCCCCAACTCAATCTCCAGGGATTGCCCATGCGAGAACAATCAAAACCCATGAGTCCCCCTAGGCAGGGGACCCACTCCTCATGGAAACAGAAGAGAGCAGGGAGGAGAAGCCAGCAAGGCTCCTGGTGTGAACACCCTGCAGCTTAGAGAGACCACATTTGTGGATGAAGAGAAACTTGAAGCCTCTGAGGACTGGACTCTGCCTCAGAAGTGGTATTGGCTGCAGTCTTTCCCAGAACCCTGAGAAGGGGAAGCAGCCGGTCCAGCCCACCCAGATTTCTGACCTTTAGAATGGGAGGACCAGAGCCTGTGCTGTTTTGAGCCATGCTTGAGCAGCTGGAGATGAACATGTGTCCTCCACACATGAAAAGGGTGTCTGGGAAATGAGATTGTTTGTGATGTGGGACAGAGTCGGGTGAGGGGACACGTGGGCGGGGACAGGGGTCCACTGACTGGTTGACTCCCCAGAGGAGATGGGAAGTAAGAGACCACCAGGAAAGGTGCAGGTGGGGGTTTGGGGAAGGGGGAAAGGTGCAGAGTCCTACCGGATGAGGGAGTTTGATGGTATAGAAAACTCCAGAGTGCGTGGTGTGATTCTAGTGCACAGGGTGCATGACGGGAAGTCCATCCATGGAATCTGGGCGTTTTCCTGCTGGGAAGAGATGGAGGCTGCTGGGCGGAGGTGGGGGGTGTGTGTCGGGGGGTGGGGGAGGGACCTGGAATTTGTTTTTTATTGGTTTTGTTTTTTGTTTTTTGTTTTTGTTTGTTTGTTTTTCGAGACAGGGTTTCTCTGTGTAGCCCTGGCTGTCCTGGAACTCACTCGGTAGACCAGGCTGGCCTCGAACTCAGAAATCTGCCTGCCTCTGCCTCCCAAGTGCTGGGATTAAAGGCGTGCGCCACCACCGCCCGGCTGGAATTTGGTTTTTAAAGGCACCTCCAAGCTGCTGTGAGTGCCTGTGTGCCCTAGAACACAAACAGGGAGCCTGACATCTGAAACCTAGGTGGGAGATGCAGGTGGCGCTTGAGAATGGGAAAGATTCTAGGCCTGGTGGTATTGCTCACTGGTGAGAGTTCAGGACGCTGTGATGTCTCTGGCTTGGACCACTCTGTGTCCTGAGGTCTGTAAGGCTGAAAGGGGGACTGAGAGATGAAGGGCCTCATGTGGAAAAAGAAAAGGGGGAGCAGTGTCCCAGGCTTGTCAGAACAGAGGTCTCTAACTGGGGGATCCATGGTCTAACCAGTTATAGAGGTCAGAGCCCAAGATCAAGGTATTAGCAGGGTCACGCTCCCCCACTGCCCCAAAGCTGTCTGAGAGAAGGCTTCCCAGCCTCTGATAGCCGTTTTCTGGTATCCCTTGGTGACTTGGTTTATGGAAACATCAGTCTCTGTTTCGAAATGTTTCTACAAGCCGTATTTGAGAATATCATTGCCGGGCAGTGGTGGTGCACGCCTTTAATCCCAGCACTTGGGAGGCAGAGGCAGGCAGATTTCTGAGTTCGAGGCCAGCCTGTTCTACAGAGTGAGTTCCAGGACAGCCAGGGCTAAACAGAGAAACACTGTCTCAAAAAAACAAAAAAAAAAAAAAAAAAAAAGAGAGAGAGAGAGAGAATATCATTGGCCCCTGGCTGCTATCAACCCCACAGTTGATAGCAGCATAGCAAACAGAGGAGAAAGGTAGACTCCATGCCCAGGATGGTGTCTGGCGATTGGGCTTGGGTAGGTAATGTGTCTTGCTGGCTAAAGAACGACATAGGCATTTAACTATGTCACAGCTTAGAGCAAGCATGAGCGGTCTTCCTGTCATCTTAGCTCAGGGCCTGTAGGTGTCAGCAGGCATTTGATGGGCAGATGCTGAGTACCTGAGTGGATAAAGTAACATATCTGTGATGCTTTTCTGAGTGTATGTCCTTTTCCCTCCCACGCTGTTCCTCTTCTCTGTGCAATGTGGATGTCTCCCAGGCCAGTGTCAGGGGCTGCAGGCATGCCAGGTTGCGGCAGATGGAACCTACTTTGGAGATCCATGCCCCACCAGGGGCAGCTACCTGTGGGTACAGTACCAGTGTCTGGAAGGTGAGTCACCAACTGGATGGGTATGGGATTTTTCTTATTTCTGTTGTATGTCAGCTTGAAATTCTCATCCTCAGGTGACACTTCCCTTGAACAGCTTCCCTGTTGCCAGACATCCCCGCCTCCTGGAGCTGTGTGTGTGTGTGTGTGTGTGTGTGTGTGTGTGTGCAGATATCCTTGCCTCCTGGCCTGGTCTCTTGGAGCCATTTGTGTGTGCATGTACAGGCATGCGCGCACACACACACACACACACAATTTCTTTTAAAATTGAATTTAAAAATATTTTTATTTTATCTGCACGAATGCTTTGCCTGCTTGTATATACGGGTGAAACACAAATGTGATGCCTGCAGAGGTCAGAAGAGGGTGACAGATCCCTTAGAATCAGAGTTACAGATGCTAAGAGCCTCCATGAGGGAGCTGGGAACTGAACCCAGATCCTTGGCATGAGCAACAATCACACCAAACCACCGAACCATCTCCCCAGCCCTAAGATAAAAACCTTAAAAGTCAAGAAATAACCCACACTATCGCCATTTGTAAAAATGTCATGATAAAGACGGGAGAGTCCTTCCCTTCAGCATGACAGCCCCCACACCCCCCCTAAGGAAATGTTACTAATATTGTGGGGACATTTTCTCTCTACTTTTAAAACTGTTTGTAGATGTGGCTGTGAGTGAATATATACACATTCTGAACTAAAACATAATCATATGGACCACATTGATCTATATAGCCCGTTTTTTCTTTTTCGTTTATAATATATCCAGGACTCATCTCTAAGACACTTCCTTATATTTTGGAGGAAGGAGTGGCTTGGTTCTGTGACCCAGAGTTTAACCAGGGTCTTGGGTGTGAGCATCGCTATGGCACTGTCCACTTGGGCACTTCAGCAGCGACCACACCACACTGGGGACAGTGACCCCCCTCAGCCAGCAGCCCTCCACTGCCCATGGCTCCCGAGTGAAAGATAAGGCCCCATGAGATTCTCCTCATCCTGTGACAGAATACTGCTTGGACTGAGTACTGTGTAGGCTACCACCATGGTGCAAGCCTATCTTGACATGAACCTGGGATTATTTTCAGAGAAGAAACTGCTAGCAGTTAGCTAAGTGCATTTAAAGTGCTGCTAGACAGCACTAAATTACCCTCTCAAAGAGCTGTATTAATTCACTTTCCTACAAAGAGTACGGATGCCAACTTCCCTTAAGGGTGAGACAGAGCACTGTGCCATCCTGTGACAAATGACTCAGAAAAACAACTTCTGCCCAGGGCATGAGCCATAAGGACCTGAGGGAAAAAGATGAATCATTGTGGTGGTGGTGGGGGGACGTTCTCAGGGACATTGTGCAGGGAGTGGAGGCTGTGGGACAGGTACAGGAAGGGGAGGGTGGCAGCCAACAGGCTTTACCAGTGGCATTCGTTAGCTGGTTGTGTCTGGGTGAAGCAAGACAGAGGGCAATTCTCCCTCGCTTATTGTCTGGGAAGAGTCGGTCATATGCCTTGGCCCTGACTTTGGTGGTTTTGCTAACGGACAAAGCGTGTCTTTTGGAGATCTGTCAGCCGCAGTGTGTCACTGAAGTGTGTGGCTCAGGGCAGAGGAGGGTGTGGCAACCATATTTCATCCTGTCCCTGTGAACCAGGGTGTTCTGATTAGAGCTGTTCTCTGATTCATGAAGAGGGACCAGAGGTTCTAGCTGCACCCTGACCACCTCTTACTGGTCCCAGATGCACCCCGAGCAACCCTTACTGGTCCCAACTGCACCCTGAACACCACTCTACAGCTGAGGTCAGAGCCTAATGGTGATCTGCCTTAATCCAGAGGGTCTTTCACTTCCAGTTTACCATCCAGGCAGGGGAGGCTGCAGTGTACGGGTTTGTGCAGGGCTGTGTGGAGCCCCAGCTAGTTCTGCTTGTCTCAGACCCCCACCCCACCCCAGCTTTTGAAGTTCAAGGCTTACAAAGTTTAATATGAACCAGCTTACCACTCATCTGCCACTTTAGCAATTACATTTTCATAAAGGAAGTTTTTTTTGGGGGGGGGGGAGGAGCATTGTTTGTTTGTTTATGTTAGTTGTTTTAGCCATTATAAAATAGACTTGAAAAATTGGTGTCCCAGTTAAATAAATTCAGGTGTGTTATGAAGCTGTTACACAGAAGAGTGCAGCTCTAGGACTGCCACAGATCAGTCTCTGGGATGCATTAGGTTAAAAAGTACAAGGTGCTGGGTAGCAAACACGGCCGTCTGTCCATCTGTGTAGATAGAAGAACATGCAAGTTCAGGCATGCTTGTGTCCCTGTATCTCTCTCTATGAAGCAATCAAGGATTATGGTGACAATGACTGCCACTGGTCATCAGAACAGGGGTCCTGAGGGATGTGCGTGCTTATATGTGGTGAAGGTCCCGCCTTGTATGTGCGAGGTCCTGGCTTTAATCCCCAACATCACATATATCCAGGCTTCCTGGTGAATGCTTGTAATCTCAGCATTCCCGAGGCAGAGGCAAGAGGATCAGAAGTCCAAGGTCATCTGAAGCTACATTTTGTATTTGAGGGGGGAAATCTATAGATCCTGTCTAATATATATATATATAAATGAAAAAGCATTTAAAAGGCCAGAGAGATCTCTCAGTATTAGGGGTTCTTGTTGCCAGATGACCTGAGATCCATCCCTGAAGCCCACGTGGTGCAAAGAGAGAACTGGCTCTTCCAGGTCCTCTAACCTTCGAATACACATGCATACGTGTTCATGTATGTGCCACGCACCATATGTAAGCAAACAAATAGATCTCTCAAAAGTAAAACTAATCAAGAGGCAGAGGCAGGTGGATCTCTGTGAGTTTGGAGCTAGCCTGGTCTACACAGTGAGTTTCGGGTCCGCTAGGGCTATATAAAGAGACTCTGTCTCAAACTAAACTAAACTAAACTAAACTAAACTAAACTAAACTAAACTAA